CTGCATCCTCAACACTTGCACCCACTAGCTTCATATCCTCATTTATTACCTCCATATACCTCCTCTTTGGCCTTCCTCTTCGCCTCCTGCCTGGCAGCTCCATGTCCAACATTCTCCTACCAGTATACTCACTCTCCCTCCTCTGAACATGTCCAAACCATCTTAATCTGGCCTCCCTAACTTTGTCCCCCAAACATCCGACATGAGCTGTCCCTCTGATGTACTCGTTCCTAATCCTGTCCAACCTTGTCACTCCCAGAGAATCTTCAGCTCTGCTACCTCTTAAAATCTGGAAAAGGCAGATGTTGAGCTCCATGCTGCCACTTTGCAATTGTCTGAAAGGGAAACTGCTCGTAGAATTGCCCAAGAGGTAGGCATAGTACATGATCAATGATATCTAATGAAAGAAGGCGCCTTTGACCTGTGTTCAAGTATCACTTCGTTTACCTAATGTGCTAACCTGTCATTAGACAGTGGAGCCTTTTATAGTGCACAAACTGCTGGTCAGTGAACCGCCAGGGGGCAGTCACTTCCATGTAATTCCTCAGAGGACACCAAGTATGCTAGTCAGCCAAAAAAAAAAAAAAAAAAAAAAAATGTCTTAAGTGAAAGCCACTCTTTTATTACAGCCAATCCCACAAGTATGGCCTAGGGCTGTGATTTCCACACACTGATGAAAGTGAAATACTTTTCAGTGTGCAATGTTTTTCACATGACGCTAATGAAAAGAAATAACATTCGTGTATTGTGTTTTTCTATCTTTAACAGAATCACATAGCTAAATGCAATGCAGTGCACCGAATCGCTTATAAACTTGGATCATATTTACATCTGACACAAATTCAGCATTTAATGTTTAAAAAGCTGTTGATTGTCTTTCATTAAAGATATCACGTGATGCAAGGCTTTGCAGTGCAGGCTTTACTCTTCAGTCTGGTGGGTTTTCTACACTTCCCTGATGCAAAGCAGTTCTGTTTGTGTATTGTGTTTCATGTTTTTTTCACCAGTGTTTTGCTTTTCGCTGTCACAGAGTCTTCTACATATGCAATCGACACACGTCCACATACTCTGATGGGGGATACACCAATATATGTGGTGAGCTGTGATATCAAAAAATGGGGATCTCATGAGACATCAGCTTAGTGCAACCCAAATCACCCACATGGGGTAGGCATTCACCTCAAACTGGTCCTGATCTGTATGACAAAACAAATTCAAAGACTCTGTCTTTTTTTCTGGATAGAATGAGTAGCATTCTGTGAAGACATTGTGGTTGCAAGTCTACCCCATACTGCTGATATACACTATCTGGGCAAAAGTTTGTGGACACCTGACAATCACATCCATTTGTGCTTTTTGAACATCCCATTCCAGATTTAGTGCCCTTTTGCTGTTATAATAACCTCCATTCTTCTGGGAAGGATTTCCATTACATTTTGGAGCATGACTATGGGGATTTGCTCAATCAGCCACAAGAGCATTAGTGAGGTTAGGCACTGATATCGGGCGAGGAATTAGCGTTCCAGTTCATCCCAAAGGTGTTCAATGGGGTTGAGGTCAGGGCTCTATGCAGGCCACTCGAGTCCTTCCACTCCAACCTTGGCAAGCGATGTCTCTGTAGACCTTGCTTTTGCACAGCTGAAACAGGTTTGAGCTAGACCCCTTAGTTTCAGTGAAGGGAAAGTGTAATGCTACTGCATACAATGGCATCCTATACAATTGCGTGCTTTGTGGCAACAGTTTGAGGACGAAACCCATATCAGTGTAATGGTCAGGTCTCCACATACTTTTGGCCATATAGTGTACCAGTGGGAAATTTTACCATATTTGCTAGTTAAGGGTTCCTAAAAAAACGTGTGGATAAAAAAAAATGCCAAGAAGCCCTGCATTTATGACAGTTATATAAGCAGTGCCCTGAAGGGTATTTACTACAGTGAGGAAAGCTATCAGTTCTGCCAGCAGATATGACTGAGCAGGCTTGAATTAATACACTGAAAGTGCTGTTGAGAACAGGTAAGAACATATCACCTTCATAGTCACACCAGGAATGCGCCAAACTTTTACAAACCCAGCTTGGGGACAACTCTGCAGAGCTTGTTGCCATGTTGCAGGAGGTTGAGAGACTGGACCTACATCTTAAAGAGTGAATCCATGTTCAAATCTGCCACTGTTGGGCCCTTGAGCAAGGCCCTTAACCCTGTCTGCTCCAGGGGGGCCGTATCATGGCTGACCCTGCGCTCTGACCCCAACTTCCTAACAAGCTGGGATATACGAAGAAAAGAATGCTGTAATGTACAGTATATGTGAATAATAAATTAAGAAGTCTTCTTCTAAAATGCTACTCTGACCTATTCACAGCGGAACATTTCACAGGACAGGATTTAGTTTACATTAATGGCATTTTATTCCCTGTGGGGGCGGCAGAGACCTCTACATGCTTTTGTTTGAGAAACCTTAGAAGAAGACACAAACGTCACTCCTGTGTGCTAGCATTGGTCAGTACTCCTGTTTGTGGGCGTGGCTATTCTCGAAAACGGGTACACGCTTCTGCTTGATTGCCACACGGCATCCACCCGTTTTTACTCCATGATGGCCGCCGCCTTGAGGAGAAACCTTGTATCATTGGCCAAGGTGAGTGATGATAGTCTGATAGTAAATACCTAATGGTTCCTTAAATCAGGAGGTTGAACTTCATTAAATATAAAAGATGTCCATGGGAGTTCAGTGCAGTATTTTAAGTTAAACTAACATTTCTTCAGTAGCGAACAACGTGCTAGATAATGAGCGTTTGGACGCTAACTGGGGCTAAATTTCTTCAGCTGTTACGTTAAACATAGAGCTGCTGCTTTGCACGGACAGGTTAAGAAAATGTTGATTTTAATATTCTATATAGTTTGCCAATTTAGACATTATCTGTTTATTGTAAATGTCTTGTCCTTGCCTGCAGCTGAACGGCTTTAGTAGCTAATGTTAGGGCTTGATAAGGGCGTCTCTTCCCTTATTATCAGCTTTTCAGTGCCATGAAGAATGATTCCGTTATCAGTTCATTTGTGGTTACATTTTGTAATAAGCTGAAATAGATGATAAGACTGCCAATTAAATATCTTCAGTGAACAGAGAATCCGAGTTGACCCGTTACTGGACATATTATACACAAGTGCAGTGTATCAGGATTATGTTTTTGCACTAATATTGGGAACAACGTGCCTGAGCCTAAATGGCTTTCTTTGGAGCATATAATTACATTAGTGGAGGAGGGGGGAGGAGGGGGAGGGGGTACAGTGGCTCAGTGGTTAGAACGCCTGCCCTTCATCCCTGGCACCGGGGTTCGAATCCCACCTCCCCGTCCAGCCCAAAGACCAATAAGCTGATTGGCATTTCCAAGTTTTCCGTAGTGTGTGAATGTGTGTGGGATTGTGCCCTGTGATGGGTTGGCACCCCACTCTGCGCCCCAAGCCCCCTGGGATAAGCTCTAGGATCCCCTGAGTGACCTGGTTGCTTAGGTGTTTTAAACTCTCTGATATTAACGGACACCCCCAGAAGCCCCTGCCCCTTTCCCCACCTTGTATTTAGCAATCTTTTGGTGGGTGCTCTCATCTCGACTTGGTTTTCCTGCTAAAACGATGCCCTGATGCAGCCCCCTCGCTTGTCAGAGTAAATAAAGTATGTTCAGGAGTTTATTAATAAGAAGTAAAATCTATCGCTGTAACCTGTGTAGGATAAGCGATACAGAAAATGGAAGGATGTTTAGCAGGATAGCAGTTAGATAGATTGATAGGAACACCATTTAATAAAAACTGATCATTCATGTAAAAATGTGGTCTCAGTGGCAAGGTTGTTATGCCGGATAGGCTGGTTTAAGTATTTCGGAACCTATTGATCTCCTGGGATGTTTGTGCACACAACAGTCTCTAGACACAGAATAGTGTGGGGGGGGGGAAATCTAGGAGATCCAGAACTCTGCAGACAGAAACGCCTTGTTGAAAAAAGGGGTAAGTGGAGAATGACCAGACTGGTTTGAGCTGACAGGAAGGCCACAGTAACTCAAATAACCACTCTTTACAACCATGGTGAGCAGAAAAGCATCCCAGACCACACACTGGACACCATGTCCACTCCTGTCAGCCAAGAACGAGCATCTGAGGCAGCAGTTTGCACAGGCTTATTGAAACTGGGCAGCTGGGAAAAACGCGCACAGAGAGGGGAAAATCACAAATAGAAGTCATTGCTTTGTTGCACTAATATTGGCATTATGGTGTTCAGTCCCATATTGCTGCTTACCGATCTTATAGTGCTCTACATAAGGTGTAGAAGGTTTATTTCATACTCCGTGTAGTGTGTTTATATAGGGTGTAAGCTGCTGAATCCCAAATGGCCCTCTATTGTGCTTAAATGCATTACATAATATGTAGAAGCCATTATTTTTATACCCTAAATAGGGAGCAGGGATCTGGAAGCTGTTTGGGATTTGGCCAGATGTATAATAACACTAAAGTGTCTGCCATAGTGTAGTTTAAATAATTAATAACTACAAATTATGTAGTAATGCATGATTGCTGAAAAAGTTCCTTAATAATGGTGGGAAATAATGAATTATATAGCATGCAAGCTACCTATTAAACAAATAAAGAATACAACTCTGCATTAAACAGCTCACTAAGCTCACTAAATAAGTGGGTAACATAACATAAGTGGTTTGATGGTTAGGTGACCTTTTGACCTCTGCTGCCTGTTTCCTGTTTCCTGTTTGATCCATCCACAGGGCCTGACTGGTGCTGCCGTAAAGCCGCTGTGTGTGCGCTCGCTGAGCCTCTCAGCCAATCAGAATGCTTCAGAGACTCCACCGGCACGGGCCGACAGCACCTTCAAGGTCACGATGGTGCCGGGAGATGGAGTCGGACCTGAACTCATGATGGCTGTCAAAGAAGTGTTCAAGGTAAATATAAAGCGTTTCCGCATGAGCGTTGACGTTGTATTAAAGCAGCAGACGCTTTTTAATACCAACAGTTCCAGTTTCCAAAACACTTATCTAGTCTAGGTGAGGACAAGGAAATCTGAAAAAGTTATAATGTTAACATTATGATATTCCAGTACAGAGGCAGAGAAGTTTGTATTTCTACAGTGATCTGACTACCGAAGGCTAAGAATGATGTGTTGTTTTCTTTGATTATCTGCTCTGGCGTGGTCTACGTTTAACACGTTAAAGATTCCAGTTTGGCTCACTTTAGTATCCCTGACATAAACTGTTGCTAGAGACTTGTTTTAGAGATTTAAGTTATTGCCCTTCTACAGTAGGGGGTATGTTAAAGCACAGTTTCCATCCCTCTCCCCCTGCAGGGTGCTGATGTACCTGTGGAGTTTGAAGAATTCCACCTGAGTGAGGTGCAGAACATGGCAAGTGAGGAGAAGCTGGACCAGGTGCTGAACTCCATGAAGAACAACAGGGTGGCCATCAAAGGTAAAGCTAAATGTTATACATCATTAAAACACTGACCGTTACGGCAAATGAACTGAATAGTAATAAATCACAGTTTTCCTAATTCTAAGGTACGTTTGGAATGATCATTACAAGTCAAGAAACAAGTAAACATTGCCAACTTCATCTTTATCATTTCTAGATTGATTTATAAAAGAGAGAAATCTGGAACCTGCACTGAAATATACTTTGTAGGAATGCTACCATTCCTATTCTCCTGTTCAAGAATTATTATCTCTATGCCTTTGCACAAATGCTATGTTTAATCATTAACATAGTTGTTTAACAGTTTCACTAATAAGGGATAAAAGAAGAATAATGTTTGCGCGTGTGTTCTTTTTTGGGCGTAGGCAAGATCCACACACCGATGGAGTACAAAGGAGAGCTGGCTTCCTATGAGATGAGACTAAGGTCCTACTTCATTCACATCACACCACACACTGCAGGAACATTGTAGCACTCCTACAGATTAATAGTGAGAAGTAAGAAGAACTGTTAAAAAAATGAGTGTGTTCAATTGTCTGATTTTAGAGTGAAGGTAAAAGATAAAAGAAACGAGACCAACCGTTTTGTTTCCGATTTACAAAAACCATCCATTTTATGCAACGCTTTAATTTCACTCGAACATGATCACTGTAATAGAAATCAGCTTAAAAAAAAACATTATTGTTCATTTTTATTATAAACTGGAAATTGGTCATTTTGCAGTACTGCCAACCTTCGTGCGTTTTCTGTAGGAGCTCTTCATTTTAAAATTGGACTACCGTAGTGCAAGAAATATGCAAAAAAAAAAAAAAAAAAAAAACCTGACAGACTGGCAGTTGCTTAGGAGTTTTAAACTCTCTGATATTAATGGACACCCCCAGAAGTCCCGCCCCCTTCTCCAGCTCATGTTAGTAAAACGATGACCTGATGCAGCCCCCCTCGCTTGTCAGAGTAAATGGAGTATGTTTAGGAGTTCATGCATGTGAAGTAAAATCTCTCAGCGTATTTTCATCTTAGCTGACCTTAGACACAAATATGTTTAATATCAACTATATTTATTAGTGTTGCACCAGAATTTCACCACTGATAACTTTCAGCTGAAATGAAAATTTTGACCAAACAAAAAAAAAAAATTAATTGGTGTCAAATCTAACACTGTTTTTTTTCTAACACAACTAATTTTAGCTGTAATGATCATTAGGAAGTGATCATGTGCTCTCCTGTGCTGATATTCACCGATGCATTGAAACAGTTTCAGCAGCAGCTGATCAGTAGGCAAATGTTGGCCGTGTGGAGCGACGGTTTCTATGAGGGGAAATTAGAAGCGTTGTCTGGTTGCACTGCATTGGTTATTTTGGCTCCTGAGTGCGCGTGTCTTTGTGTTTCTAATGACAGGAGGAAGCTGGACCTGTTTGCTAACGTGGTTCACGTGAACAGCCTGCCGGGTTACAGCACACGCCACAACAACCTGGACCTGGTGATCATCCGCGAGCAGACCGAGGGCGAATACAGCTCGCTGGAGCATGAGGTCTCTCTCTCTCTCTCTCTCTCTCTCTCTCTCTCTCTCTCACACACACACACACTGAAGATTCATTGAAGAGGTCTGTCAAATAGATGTGATTTAACACTTGAACAGGACAGAGTATAAAATATACTTTAATCCATATATCATATGGGACAAAATTATGTGTATTTCTAGAATTTGTGAAGCTGAGATGAGGTGTGTTAAATTAAACCCATTACTTTTCATTCATGAATTTTATACAGCATATTTATTACTTGACCTGTGTCATTCACTCGTCTAATGCTGAATGTAACTAAACCTTCAGCAGCACCATCTCCTGTTATTTGTCCCGAACTGTAACTGTTTGTAGTGGCCTATATAATGAATGATGTATGTTTTGCTGTATATGTACGGTCCTAACTTGAATATTTGGAAGATTTTTCTATTTATAAACCGTTGTGAAGATAGAAGGCCGTGTGGCGTGCCTGAAGTCAACAGTGTAGTCAGATTAGGGAAAACTGGGTCGGATTATTACCACTAGTCTGAAGAGTGTTTGTATGGTAAAACTAGTGGCTTACTTATTTTTCTTCCTATTTTCTGCCCAATCAAATATAAGAAACATTATGATAAGGAATTGTTTTTTTGTGCTACAGAGTGTGACCGGAGTGGTGGAGTGTCTGAAGATCATCACAAGGGAGAAGTCACGCCGCATTGCCAAGTTTGCCTTTGACTACGCCACCAAAAAGGGCCGGAGCAAAGTTACAGCCGTGCACAAGGCCAACATCATGTGAGCCATAATATATAGCATAGGACCTGGTTTTAAATCTAGTACCATTCCTTTAATGAGGCATTCACACTACATCACATTGTTTAAATATAGGTGGCTTAGCAGAGTATAATGAATTAACCAGAGTGGATGTCATTCAGCTTGGAATTTTTTAATATCTTCAGGGAATCCAAACGTCCTCAAGGATATGAAAATCTGACAGTTTTAACCTTGTAGGGACCAGGCAAATGAGAACAGCTGCCACTTTTATTTAAAACCTAAAAGAGCCCAAATGTTTCCTTTTGGTTATTGAGGTTAGGGTTAGATTAAGGTGTAGACATAGTATTAAGCAGCTGCCTTAATAATTATGTCAGTGAAAGGTCCTGCACAAGAATAGTAAGACCAATGTGTGTGTGCACGGGTGTGTGTCTGTCTGTATGAGAGTGTAAGTACTTTTTCCCCCTGGTCTGAACAGGAAGTTGGGTGACGGGCTCTTCCTGCAGAGCTGTGCTGAAGTGGCTGAGCTGTATCCCAAGATCAAATACGAGAACATTATCATTGACAACTGCTGCATGCAGGTACTGGAACGACCCAAACTCACCCTTAGTTACACCC